GGTCGTTCTGAAAAGAAAACTTCTAGACCTAAAACTAGTGCAGATAAGTTCATACGCTCGAAGGAAGCCTCGGAACAAAGGAAAAGGGATTTATTTTGCATTTGAAACGGGTGCGAAACAGCTACCACAGCAGTTCTATACCATCTGACGATCAGAAAAGGGCGTCGAAGGTGAAATCTATCAAGGGTTTGTAGCGGGCGGCGACGAACACCGACGAACTCGAGAAGCCGTAATGCAGATCTAAGGTAGGGAAGAAAAGAGACTTACAGATGCGGAGTTGCAGCGGAGTTTCGTCGCGTTTTTCTGGTCAAATCAGGTCGATGCAGCGGCCTGGGTTGGAGAAGACGAGGAGATTTGCGGCGGCGGCGGAGCTCGAGCGGCAGAGAAACAGTGAGAGGAGGAAGATGACCGAAGGGGGAGAATGGGAAAGACCTAGGTCGTGCCTATTTATAAGGAGGGACTGACTGAGAAGGCGCGAGAAATGAGGAGGCCAGGCATCATTATCCAACGACTCCGACGCCTCGGCTTTCGGGATCGTCAGTAAAGTCAAAGATCCGTTAAAGATATGACAGAATAAAATAAGAATTTAATTGAAGATGACGTCACGGCAGGTTAACACGGATTCAGAAGATGACGTCACGGCGGGTTAAAACCTTTGCACAAACAGAAGACTGAAGGCTTTTTTCTTAAGGTATTTTAAGATTGCCATGAACCGGTTCAAATCAATCTGGGGCCTAATGTTGGGGATATGACTATTTGTGTAAGCCGCCCAGGAGGGGCCGGGTTACGCAAAGAGGATTCATCACATGAAGCCCAAGATCAAGCATGAAGATGACGGTTCAATAAAGGGTCTGAAGCCCACAGACGACTTAAGGCCCGTAGTGGTAAACCGCCGTAATGGCATGACTTGTATCGGTAGAATTAACTAGTCACCGAGCCGGACACTGTTTATGAGCCGGCCGGGACTCTGTAGGCCGCAGGGCGTCAACCCGTGTATATAAGGTGACGACCCGCTGGCGGCTTAGGGCAAGAAACATCTCATCGAGAGCCGGGCATAGCGTATCTCGCTCCCTGGTCATCGAAACCCTAGCAATACCAACCCAACTAGACGTAGGCTTTACCTTCACCGTAAGGGGCCGAACTAGTATAAACTCTCTCGTGTCTCTTGTCCCGATTAACCCCTTTAAGCTTCCTAGTTGCGATGGCTCCACAACTAAGTCCTTCCATGAGGACATCTGCCATGACAATTCCACGACACCATATATATTTTGTAACAGCAACTTGAATGATCTAGAGAGGGAAATCCGTAACATTTCACTACATAAATGTGATTGGGCAAGGCAAGGAGACCCAACATGTCACTACATAAATGTGATTGGGCAGGGCAAGGAGAGCCAACATTTCACATTGCGCTTGCTAAGACAAATAGGTCTGGCTTAAAATTCCACGGACAGTGCTTTCAGAATTAAATGAATCGGACGGTGAAACTTAATTAATTTGGTAAAAATATGTCATTTACTTATTTCAGGGCAAGATTCAAGGCCATGCTGCAGTGATTTCCATGTTTAATGCCATTAGCATCATCTCCCAACGTCAACGAGAATCCCCTGTTGTGTAGCTTGCTGATGAAAAGATAATTTCTCCCCGGTCGAAAGGCTGACTATTGCTCAAGGAAATAGTAGTACCTCGTTCATCATTTTTTTTGTTCTGGAAATGGTGTCTTTTTCTGCACGCAGAAGAAGTACCAAAATGAAATAACCAAGAAAGAATACATGACTCATAAATTAATTAACGAGTATATCCTGATACTAGGTTTTTTCTAGACAAATATCCTAATACTAGATTGTACAATACTTGGGCACTGGCAGAGCATTGTGGGGACAATTCTGGGCTGTGGATTTCGGCTGTGGTAGCAACTAGTTGGCGAGCGCTCCTTCGGGAGCCTCCCAACAATCACTTAGGGGTGGGTTCAGAGTACGCCATTTGGCACGCTTTAGCCGCCGCCACGTGTCTTTTTCTTTTATGAGTCACGGTTTTGCTTCCGCGAAAGGCGCAGTTTTGCTTTCATGAGAGGCATGGCCGCGCCTTTCGAAAACGAAAAAAATGGGTTTTCTATTTTTATTCCTTCCGCGAATAGCACGTTTTTTTCCGCGAGAGACACGGTTGTGCATTCTTGAGAGAGGCACGGCCATGCCTCTCGGGAAGGTTACAAAAACACGTTTTTTCCATGAGATGCACGGTTTTGCTTCCGCGAAAGGCACGGCCGTGCCTCTTTCGAAAAAAAAACATGCTCCCGGTTCGGTTTTTTCTTCTGATTTTTTTCAGGTTTTATCATGAAAAAAAGTTCATCAAAACCTATCAACATGATATCTAGTTTTGAAGATCTCGACGCCAGCAATCCAATGATGAAAACGGTTCGAGATTTTGATGCACGGTTTAAGAGATAAAATATTTTGAATAATTAGGTGTACGAAAAAGAGAAAACTTCCGGGTTACGACAACTAACGCGCATGCAGTTCATCATTTGTCGCAACATAAGGAGATGCAAGTGATCTTTGAAGGAAGTACTCTTTGATCAGCGTGAAATTTTTTATAGGATACACGGCCCATTTTTGTGGCTCGGGTTGGATGTAGCGAGAGGGGACGAGCGCTACCATCTCGTGACTCGTGAGCGCGTGATGTAGCGAGACTGCTGCCACTTCCAGGTCTTCTTTCTCCTCTCAACTGCCACCAGCCCCCCTGAGCAATTGCTCGAGCCCCCGAACCCCATCTCCTTAGTCTGCATGCTCGCTCTTCTCTTCGAAATCATTTCTCAAATCAAGGAGTAGCAAGTGGATCTGCAGGCTGTAGCTACAAATTCCTGGGGGGTGAGGATTTAGTTTTGAGATCAGATGAAGGTTATTTTTTAGAAAAAAAAAGAGAGTGACCACCGGTTTCTGCATCTGGGAGATGCATGCAGCCACTTTATTAATTATTTACAAAGACTTTATAGAGTAATAAATCCATATGTCTGAAGACGCCATCTTGTCAACAATTGTCGTCACTTCTATTCATTTGATGAAGGGGGTGTAGAAAGTGTAAGCCAAATACCCAGACCTCTCACCTAGCCTAACATCTAAAGTCGGAGGCCCCGACCAAGCCATATATCAAGTCTGGGATACAAACCGGTCCGACGCACTCTGATAGGTCGTCGCTGCCATCTTCAATCAATGCATCTTCATAACATGTACTGACGCATCAACCTTGCTCGACCTGTCAAATGGCACTGATAGTTCTTCATTTTCATCGGCAGAAACCTGGAGAATATCATCCCGGGATGATTCCAAACTTATAGAGAGAATAGAGTATTGTCCGGTGAACCAAATAGGAGGCAATATGTGCTTTCTACTGTGTCCAGGAGATTCATGGCTCAAGATATGTTATCTTGTCTATAAATTCAAAATTTGTTAGTTTATGCCTTGCTACCAAGTTGGCCAATAGCTCATTTAGCTAGATCTGTTCAAACACGCTCTCC